TTTCCTGGGTTCTAATCCTGACTGGCCCAGAGTCTAGTCCAGTTATATGGCCAAATGCCTTCACTTTCTGAGCTTGAGTTTCTCCTTCTGAAAAAAAAATGTAGCTGGGAAGATTCAAACTAGATGATCGTTACCAGCCTTTTCTGCTCTGATGTGAAATAGATTTCTATCTTAGACATTTCATCAGCACTCATGTTTACACTTTCCATTTTCTTGGCAAATACCTGTCATGGATGTAAGAAAGTTCCTTCCAGTCTTCAGCAGCAGCATCGTTATTCTAAAGGAATTCAGCCTGAATTCATGATGATTACAGTATATTTATGTATTCACTATTTCATCCATCCATCCATCCATGCATCCATTCAATGAGTTGCCTACCCTTCATCAGTCACAGTACTAACTACTCAGATATGGAGATAATTAAGAAAATGTTTCTGCAATACAGAGACTCCCAGTTTAGTGGGGAAAACAGGCAAAAAAATCCCTATCCCAATGACAGAGGTATTACAATTATGAAGGGCAGCCCCTCATTTATTTATGTACCGGGCAGTGTAGCAGGTGCTGGATACCGTGCTGAGCAAGATGGGGGCCGTTCCTTCTTCCATGGGGCGTCTGCTGTAGTGACAGGAGTACGGGAGCATGGGCGTTCGCAGTCAGCACAGGGAAACCATGTAAACTGCGTCCCTGGAGAGCTGATCTTCAACAGCCTGGGCGCCCTGGCTATACAAAGGCAGGATTGATTGAGGCTGGGACTCACCCAGGGCAGGGGCTAATCCTCCACTCGGGCTGTCAGAGGCTTGCATCTTTCAAAAAAGGAAATGCTTGGTTGCAAATAGTAGAGAGTTCGCTGAGCCAGCAGAAGGGGAAATGGAAGTCAATAAATAGCCATGGCATTGAGGGAAACCCTGCTGGAGACACCCGGCCTGATTGTTAAGGGTGATCACAGCTAAGGCTAAAACCACGGGTGTCCAGAAAACCTGAGATCAGTGATTCAGAAAAGCAGTGCAAATAACTGACTCTTGTTAGTGCCCAGAACTGATGAACATCTATTCCAACTTTCCATTTTGCAGATGGGGAGACTAAGTCCTGGCAAGGAGAAAATTACTTATCCGGTGTTCCCAGAGTTAATGTGTCAACATAGGTCAGAACCCAGCAGGCATCTTGGAATGAGAGGGAAAGAGGAGAAAACTAATTTATTGAGCATCTATTTCACTTCCTACCTGAGCCATGAGCTTTACCCTTCACTACTTCAGTTTATTCTTACATCAGCTCTGTGGGGTTGGCAGTCCTGTCATTCTCATTCCACAGAGGAGACGACTGAGACCGAAAAGGTGAAGTAACCTCCTCTCCAAAACCACACACCCAGGGGGAGAGGGAGGACTGGAGCCCGGGTCCGTGTGTCTCTAGCACTCAGGTTCTTTTCTCTCTGCCTCACCTCCTGTTCTCCAAGCAGCCTCCAGGGTGGATGCTTCTCATTTGCAAAATACATATTTGCTGTATAATGAATGTCAGTAATTAATGACACGTCCCGAGGCAGGGGAAACTTGCCTCGTAAGCACACGTGGAAAATGTAGCAGCGCCTCTTTTCTGTATGGATTTCTCATTCTCAATAATATTCCCTTAAGGAGGGAGAGGGAAAAAAAATGGCCTGTGCCCTGTCCTGAGTCACTGACAGAAGAGACAGGAGCCTCAGCCCTTGCTCTTTCTGGAGAGAGGAAGGAGCCTCCTTTCCCACCACCCTGCTGGCTTGCTCCAGCTGACTTCCCGTCCCTTTGCCAGAGCTAACCATTTTACCTCTCCCATTATGAATCATGAGGCCTGTGGCTCGTGGCAGATCATAAATCAGTCCTGGGAGTCTCGAGGACAAATCCCAGGACTTTTAATCTTTAATATTAGACGCGTTTAAAGTGGTGAATATTTCATGAAGGGACTGTTGCATTTTAACACATCATTAGTGACTCCTGTCCCTCCCCCTTTAGTAAATTATTCTCAGCCAAGTCTGAGGGATCTCAGCCCTTTCCCTCCGTTTTCCTTACCTCTGGCAACAATCAATCCACTAGGCTGCACATACGTACAGCACACACATTCAGTGGCAGACCTCAGGGATAATGCTGGAGGGGAGAATTACTGACAGCATGCCTGCCTGCGAGCAGTCCCCTCTTATTTGCCAGGTACCCAGAGAAGGGGAGAGGTAGATCTCTTTCTCTCCCTCTTCCCTTTCTCCTGTCTTTCCACAATCTTGTTCTGAATATTTTGAATACTATCTCTGACCCATTCTTCTCTCCATATTCTGTTTTACTACCGTTTTAGTTTAACCAACATTTATTAAGCCCAGGCTGTTTGCTAGGTACTTGCTAATGCTGGGGATACAAAGATTTAGCAGCATTTAAATGTATAAAACAAGTTAACACTCAGAATGCTTTGTTTAAGGTCAGAGGTATAATGTTGATAGTGAATCAGTGAAAACAGTAAGGTCGTTTGATACATACAGACATTTAGAAACCAGGAGTTATGGGTGACAGTTGTAGAACCCGTGTTACGCTGGCATCGTGTTCACCGCTTTGTTTTGTTTTGGTTACACAAGGTTGAGAAAATCCTGATTCACAAGACTTGAAGTTGTAAAAAGCGTGAGCATGTTAGCACCTCAACGCACGTCCTCAATGAAACAAGGATGACAGGAGAATTTTTTTTAATGAGACTTGGATGAAACACATTTACCTGGCAACTGGGCTTAATGTGACAGTGCTCTCCAGTGTCCTGAATTGTAGCATGCGACATCTGAGTGCTGAGCTTTTGTTCTTTTATTATTAAAGAGATTTAAAAATAAAACTTTTAAAGGAACATTAAAAGCTAAAAGTTGCAAAGTCCCTAAATCTCCCCCCTTGAGCTAGACGTTGCCATGAAACATGATTGGGAAACTCTCAGGTCAGGCCAACCAGAATCACTGTAGGAGTGAAGCATTGCAGGCTCATCTGGGAAATTTATCAGAGCCATAGCAGATAGTTAGTTATTCATTCAACTCTCAGTGTTGAGACACTGTTCTAGGCAGTGGGCTCAGCCAGGGCAGTTCCTTACCAGCATTTCCCAAAGTATGTCCCACAGAACACTAATCCTATGACTTGTCACCCCAGCAAGTCTTCCAAGGTGACGTAAGTTTAGGGAAAACTGTATATGTAGCACCCTTATGAAGAATCATACTGTCCTGGATATAAGGAATGGCGCAGTGTCTCACCAACTTTTTTTGTGAAATCTATTTTTGTAATGTATCTGTGAACATTCTACAAATACGTCTTGAGAAAATCTAACAACGAATTGAATCAAAAAATATCCACTGACCTTAAGGAATGTACAGGGAAGCAGGACTGATAGTAGCAAGGAGGTAGGACCCTTCTGGAATTTTGAACTCTGAAGGTGTACCAGGAAGCAAGAGGTGCTGGCCACCCAGAATGAGCTTGGCCAATGGGAAAATATTGTTCAGGCAGTGTGAGATGCTAGCAAGTATTCATGCAACCAGGTGTAAGGCATGGTCAGAAAAAAAGGGCACATGGATATGTGGATGGATGATTGATGGATGGATGTAAGGGAAGAAAAGAAGGGAAATGAGGGGAGGAGAGAAGAAGGGAGTAAAACCATTACAAACAAACAACAACAGCAAAACAAAATAAAATCTGGAGATGATAGATGAAAACAAATTTTCCAAAAAGGGAAAACAAAGGTTTTGGAGGAGTTGGCATTTGATTTGGGGCTTATAAATGAACATGAATTGTTCATTCAGGTGGAGAGAATTCAGTTTTCTCATTACACTTTTAGTGCAAGTGTACTTTATCATAATTTAAATATTTGAAAATAGGACCTCTGCTTGTAGCCACCGGGTCACTTTCTGTTTCCCTCATTAAGCCCTGAGCTCCTTTAGCATCTGGTTTGTACCTTTGACCTCCTCATGCCCGGTGCTCAGCAGAGAGCCTGGCAGGGCATGTGGTCAGGACTTGTTGAGTGAATAAGTGAATTAATGAACAAATGAATAAACTCCTTGTTAACCACAGTGGCAGGTAGACCAGAACACCCTCTTTCCATGACCATTTTTAAAACTAGGCAGCTCACTTTATTTTCTAAGAAAACAAGGAAACCATTAAAGAAGACTCAAAAGACTAGGAATAGACTTACCATATGACCCAGGAATCCCACTCCTGGGCTTGTATCCAGAAGGAAATCTACTTCAGGATGACACCTGCACCCCAATGTTCGTAGCAGCACTATTTACAATAGCCAAAACATGGAAACAGCCTAAATGTCCATCAACATGTGACTGGATAAAGAAGATGTGGTATATTTATACAATGGAATTCTATTCAGCCATAAAAACCGACAACATAATGCCATTTGCAGCAACATGGATGCTCCTGGAGAATGTCATTCTAAGTGAAGTAAGCCAGAAAGAGAAAGAAAAATACCATATGAGATCGCTCATATGTGGAATCTAAATCACAAAAACAAAAACAAACAAACAAACAAAAACAAAGCATAAATACAGGACAGAAATAGACTCACATTCAGAGAATACAGACTTGTGGTTACCAGGGGGGTGGAGGGTGGGAAGGGATAGACTGGGATTTTAAAATTGTAGAATAGATAAACAA